CTGTGCAAATTTGTTTGATAGGAATTCGTAAAATGGTCACACCGTAAACCGAAGCAGTTTCAAGGAGTGAAGAATGTTGGATTGGACGAATAACAACTCGCCTTACCATCCTGCGAACTTAAGTGAAATCAGTCAACTAGCAAAATTGGCCAGGGGATGAGGGAGGTTTGGACAGGATTTTAATGAACTGGCCTGCAGACTAAAAGGTTCAAGTAGGGCCATCATCATTCCGGCAAATCAAGAGGATAGTGGGTAGGTAGATGCACCAGGAGAGGAGGAGAGATACCACAATCGTTCGGCAGAAATGTCGTAAAAAGATGGACTTGTCTCTTTGGCGAGGTGTAGTTTGTTGCATAGATTACCAAAACTCACTGACGATGTCGAGCACAATTGCCGGCAAAAGGCTTGCCAATGTACCAAGTGTCAGGTCTGACAACGGAAGTTAGTATGACTGCTATGGCAGAGAACTTCAGGTCATGAGCGTTCCCCGTATCGCCTTACTAAGCAAGTGAAACTGGATTATTTTAAGACCTGCACTCTCATGCATAATTTCTTTTTATCCTAAATATCCTTATTGAGAAGATAATGCATAAAACCAATAAATGAGTAACCAGGTAGAATTTTGTTTTATTGTTAGTTCGACCTCGAATTCACAACTTGATCGGAGCTGCAGGGATACATTTGGAACGTACCTAGTCTTGTGCCCTATTCCAGAAGAAACAGGTATCGAGTTGAGGACAACTAGGATACAGTGGATATAGGCAAAAATGTCTCATTTTTATTATGTAATTTTCGAAATTTGCTTCCGGAACAAGATTTGACTTAAAAGTTGCCATTCGGAGCTAGGGAAGAGGAGGAAATAGATGTCTTCGGTTTCGAACGTCAAAACTTTTAGGATATAGTAGAAGATTATTGCATATTTCGAAAGGGCGCAAGTCTAAAGAAATATATTCTTTCAGCATCTTTTAGCTGAAAATTAAACTGTACATAATAAACATTCTAAAATGCCAAACTAATAGGGGCAATGTCAGTTAGTAGGAAAAAAGCTTCCTTCCAGTCCAGAAAATATTTCTGTCACAAGGGCCTTCAAACTTTTATAGGAATTGTTGAGCACATCTTACTTGCCTTGACAAATAACAGATGAAATAAGTTTTAATAGTAACATCTATTGAGGTCCTAACATTCACTGAGGTATTTATTGAACACAGTTAGTAGCAATACATTTAAATCTGGTTTTAATTTATCCATTTGTTCGACATTATTTCCGCAACTTTGTTGCAGCGTCAGGGCGACTTTGTGAAACGTACCAAGTCCTGTGTCTTCTGCCATAGTACTCGTGAAACCCATAGTTTCATTGCGAAAACAATGTTGAGCCAACATCATAAGGCTAAGGGAGATTGCGATCAAACAGAAGGCCTCATAATATTGGTCTCCCTACCCAGGATTGAATTTATCTAAATTGTATTGATACAAGACGGCCTAAACTGTAAAATAACTAGCGAAAAACTAAAGTTAGTAAATGCCAAAGGTACGGACTGCAATTTTTCGCAAGTTTTATTTTATAGCCCCACAACAACAATATGGCCCAAAGTTTAATATATTTGTAAAATCTAGCTCCATTAGACAAATTCCAAAGATCTAAGTGGCTTTCTTACTGACAACATTGGGCCCATTTCTAGGGCTCAAGTTACATAGTCCACAACACTCAGGAGGATGAAATCGGAAACCCTTTACTTAATTAAACTTAGAATTCTCTCAAATCCAGAAGGTGAAGATATAATCTTCCCTGATTATGTCTGAGTTACTTTAAAACAAGAGCTTGCAATGTGAAAGTAAGTAGTTTCTCAGTAGATGTCATTTTTCGGTTTCAATAACATTTATATCGCCTCTAAAAATGTCTAGCTCAAGTTTTAAAACTTTTTATTTGTTACTAAACAAACACTTTTTAATTAGTTTGTCATCCTTCCAAGCATTTACAAATTATGATAAAAGGAACTTAGTCATGGACATCAAAGATGTTCTATTTATGACTAATTCACTTCTCGTATCGGAAGCGCTAGAATCTGTACCAAGAAAATTATAGGTTAATTTTGTCTTATGCAGTAGTATTCATGATGATTTTTATGTTGTTACAACGTGCCAGAAGGACCTGAATGTCGTCTTGGCTAATCTAATAATGATGAAGTGCTTGGGATTATGATCGTTTGAGTATTCATGCAACGGTTACCTAGGTTTGGAAATAAGAATACCACCCTGTCCACTACTCCTCTTCACCTGACCATCCATTTTCTCACCAACACAATCTCCTCTTTACTTGAGCATAATACTAGTGAACCCTAAAAAAGAAAAAAATGTTTTTTTTTAATATCATACCTGGAGCAAAATGGTTGTGGCTGTAACACCGAGGTCTTATGTCTAACTAAGAATAGTTTATCCTTCACCGGCTCCTCAGAAACTGATAGCTATTCCATAGAACCTGTTAAAAGACTTGTTTGTTAAAATCACCACCTTTCAACAAAAGAAGAGTGAATTTTTTTGATGCGTCCTAATCGTAACCCAACTTGAGTCTGATTAGATTCAACAAACTTAATAATTTTTTAGATCGTAGATACGAAAGCCAAGATGACGTCACCTTCTGTTTGGTCGCCGTCTCCGTTGACTTTATAGTGTTGGTTCGGCCTCGTTTTTACAACTGGGTCGAACCAATAATAATAATAATTTATTGATGTCCCTGCGGAGCACAATAAATGGATCCTTATGGCCCAAAATTTCATAATATGTAAAATGTATCTATTGTATTCCAGATCTTTAGCAACTTCTATTTACAACTCACCATACACTTTACCTTTCGCTGTGACTTATCTCGAAAACTTGCTGTATTGGCTTAGAGGTGAATAATGGTATCAAACATATTTTTATAGCCATTAGACTTTTTATGCATTACTCTCATTTTTACAACTTAGTAGCCCTTACCGATTGCGATTTTCAAGAGTGAAACAACAATAGGATTGACATTTTAATATGGAATTAATTCGTCCTATTGGCTTATTCATGGTAAATCCTTCCTATTAGCTCTACTCTCAAATTAATCTCTTCAATGGTTGCCATAGGGTCAAGACTTCTATATCGGTCCCACTAACAAAAATTAAAGTGTTGAACATTTTTTAGGCTTTGCTTTTCATTATATCTGCTACTCTGTACTTTTTGGAGATAACCTGCAAACGGCACTGTGGACCAAAGTTTATGAGAATGGGATCAAGCATGAACGACTTCTGAATCCGGTCCTAGTAGATTTTCTGGTAAAAGTCTTCCGTATAAATTAAAGATGCTTCCAGCAGAGCATTTAGTGTGAATTAAAACAAATACCTCTCCAATTAAAAAATCTGGTTATGTCACTATCAGAGCCGTATTCCTACTATTTCGTCTAAAGTGATAAGGGACTGGTAGTTGAAATTTCCCACAATGATGTGAGTAAACATAACGTTTCCATTAAATTTTACGTAGCCTTGTTTTCCAAAAGGCATTCTTACCCAGGATAGGTTGCAGTTTCGACCTCGGTTTGGTCTCATCAGCACCCCCAGCGAGACTCGAGCCCGAAGTGTGGTAGCGCAGCGTATAATCTCGACCACTACATCAACCTGTCACAAGTGCCCCTGGGTCGCAGGGCACAACTAAATTTCAGAGAAGACTAGTCCTTTCCCATATCATACTTCTGCGGTAGGATTGTCAACGAAGCACAACTGTATTTGCCATATAAATCAATTGCATTTCTTACTTTTTGTTTAAAAGTAGGTTTTCAAGACTAACAGTAGATATAGCAGCTGTATTCAAGGAATGGTAGTTGAATTTTCACACATTGATATGTACTGAATGCAGGGGATTGCTATAGGAAATACAATATTGCTTCGTTCACAATCCCACCATAGAAATGTGATATGAGAAAGGCCTAGGCTTCGTGCTAGTTTGGCGTAGTGGTTAAGGTGTCGACACCAAAAGCCACACTGCCCTAGGCGAGCTCAAAACTGCAGTCTATCCTGGATGAGAATACCTTATGGGAAGCAGGTGACTATCAGTCCTTCATTACTGTAAATAAAATAAGGTCAAAACAATTCTCCTATCAAATTTACTGATAGTCTCGAAAACCGACTTGGAAACGAAAAATAAGTTCTGCTGAATTTCACACCTAAGATAAGAATGAGGCTCAGCCAATATACTGGCCTCTTAAATGCTTCTTTGATCAAGTTGTTTGATAAAACATTTATTTCTTACTTTACACCCCATGTGAGCATGCAATTGCTCACTTGCATTGTAAGCTTCCGCATAAATGATTCATTCTAGTCGGCCTGTAGCCTAAGTTGCCCAGTCTAGTTGCTAGCCGACATGGGATTCAATGGAGAGTGAACAATAGAGCAGTCGGGTCTAGATAAGAAGGACACAGAGATTTATCGAGAATGGGCACATGGTTAGCAAAGGCGTGAGAATGAATAAGGTAGACAAACCTCTTATCAAGATATGCGTTATTCGCCGGGATCCCGACACGATATTATAGTTGCGTCTGTTAGTCTGAGGACTAAGCTAATGTATCAAATGCTATTTTGCCAACGGCACTTTAGCCTCTCCGATATCCGGCTGACCCCACTTGTTGATACTGGAACAGATAAATTTGTCCCTTTTAATGAGAAATCAAAGTAATTAAAAGAAGATGACAGCCTTCAGCGTAGATTGCACATACTTTATTAATTGGGTTACAATGGCAAAAACATACATTGTGAGGGTGCATTAGCAATATTGACCCGTGGTAAATGGAGGAAAATTGCCGAATAGTAACTATGGCAGCACAATTTCTGTTTCATGCATGCGAGGAATGCATCCATTTGCCTTGTGGGAGAGAAACTGTAAATGAAAACTTCACCATTCAACATGAAGGCAGTGAAAGGCCTCGTCAAACAAGTGCGCTCCTCCTCTTTGTTAATGGAAGAGGCAACGTAATTGAGGACTCGTTAAGTCATGCAAATTACAAGCTTGTCGATGACATGTGCAGAGAAAAGCAACTGTCTTATCAGATAGCTGTTACTATCTGATAAGATAAGTCTTGCGGAGGCTGAATGGAAGAGCTCCAGCCCCCCATTATTCATGATCTCACTCCTCGGCGAATGTATGGAGCAGATGACAGCAGGCGACCTGTGGATGAAGATTACCTTGTCGCCTTGAGACAGCTGCAAGGGAGGTAGGAGGCGCAAATGGTTGTTTCCTTGTTCATAGCGGGATAGTAAACTATCGCTGCCACTAGGCCCATGGATAGCGAGGACACTGTCCCAACCACCCTGACCCTCATCAGGCTGGGACAAGCAAAAACACTGTACAAGCTTAGGCTGAAGGCGGGAATTTAATAGTTTATCCAGATGCCCATGTTCCTGTTCAGAAACATGCGTATTGTAGGCCTATGCTGAAGAAAAAGCCCCAAGGGCTGCTTTCCTTCGTAGTTGCCATAAAAATTGAGGATCCAAAGTCTATATGCATGGCTCCTATCCTAGTTTTGGGGAGATGTCTAAATGTGACCGAATGTGTTTTGTGTCGTCCCGGCTCAATTAGGCGGCCTCATTCCAGTCTCCTTAACAATCGGTGTTGGTTTGAATCCCTCGGCCCGACTAATCTTAACTTTCATCAACACGTTAGCATGGCCT